GAAGCCCAACCCCAAACCCAACCCCAACCCCAAACCCCAACCCCTATCCCAAACCCAAACCCAAACCCAAACCCAAACCCAAACCCAAACCCAACCCCAAACCCAAACCCAAACCCAAATTCAAAAGTTTTATAAATATCATTATAACTATCCCAACCATCTTCTTCTTGTACTATATCTACTTCTCCTCTTCTTTAATAATTATTTTAACTAAAATTTTAGCCATATTTTTAAGCCTCATTTTATCCTTTCGGCTCTATCATGTTCTTTTTCATAGATTTTTCTCTATTTTATGAGAATAGTCGTTTTAATTAATCATTTCCCAACTACCCTCTGAAATTTTCCCTTTTGTTTCTGCACATGTACACTTGCTCTGATTATCTATTAGTATTATTTTATGACACCAAGTTATTTTCTACTTCCTAATTTAGCAATTCAGGGGGTTTGTTTACTATCAAATATTCCCCACTATGAATCTCAAAACTCGATTAGAATATAATGTTGTAAAACAGAGAGAATTTCCTCATAAAGGAGAAATATAACATAATTTTCAATCACCATTGTTTCAACAAAAACTTTAAATCAAAATCAATAATTACATGAATATTTCGATTATTAGTTTTTAAATATTTCATTAATGATTTTTGTTTAATTGTTTTTTTTAGCCGTGAATGCCATAATGCCAATGCCTAACTCAATAATATAAGGTTATTAAACAGCCAGAATTTCTAGCATATGCTAAGTCAAATTTTTTTCAAATTAAGAATTTCCAGATCATGTAATATAACTATTACTTCATTATCATGAATTAATAACCTAAGATGAAGATTGTGAATTTGAGGAATCTATTTAGAATACTAATATAAAAATTGAAGGAGCTCTAAAGTTTGAGATTAGTATAGAAAATTATGAGCAATTATATTGGGTTACAAGTACAAAAGAAGAAGCTTATGAATTACAAATAGATGAAAACTTAAATGTGAAGATATAGGCAAAGAATCATTGGGGTTTAGCTAGAGCTCTTGATACCGTAAATCAATTAGCAATAAATAATGAAATTTAGAATGTAATGTAAATACATATGATATTAGTTACCAATCTAAATAAGTGATGAACCATAGTATGTTCATAGAGGAATAATGATAGACACAGCCAGAAACTATTTACCTGTAAAATTAATTAAGAGAACTATTGATGCTTTGGTAATTAATAAATTAAATGTATTGCATTGGCATATTACCGATGATGAAAGCTTTCCATTACTTCTAAGTAAATATAGTTAAATAACTAATAATTCTAAATTTTGGAAGGATGGGTTTTTTACAAAAAAAGATGTATAAGAAATTATAGAATATGCATCAATTAGAGCAGTTTAAATCATACCTGAAATAGATACACCAGCACATGTACATTCTTGGGGAATATCTCCAGATTTATAATCAATTGTGATTACATGTGATACTAATATCAGATAATATGGTTAATTAGATCCAACTTTAGATTAAACATATGAAGTCTTAACTTCTATCTTATAAGATTTAAATGATATGTTTGATAAAGTATAATTCATTCATTTTGGTGGTGATGAAGCTAGTAATTAATGTTTTGAATAAAAACCATCAATTAAAGAATTCATGAATCAACATGGAATTTCCAATTATTTTGATCTTTAAGTTTATTATAGAAAAAAATAAAAAGATATTTGGAAAAATTAAATTAAATCTAAAAAGAAAATTATTTATTGGTATAACAAAAATGATTAGCTTCCTGCAGATTAAGATGACATTATTTAATGGTGGGGTCTTTCCTCTTAGCTTAGCGAAGTAAAAGGTAGGTCTAATTAATTCATACTAAGCGATTATCATCCCTTATATTTGGACACTGGAGTTGGAAATGCTTTTGGGGATAGATATGATAGATATCAAGCCTGGAAAGATGTTTATAAATGGAGACCAAGTATTCCACGTAATTTTGAAGGAACTATATTGGGGGGTGAAAGTCTACTTTGGGGTGAAACTAATAATTAAAATACTCACTTTTAAAAATTATTTTTAAGATCTTCAATTTTAGCTGACACGTAAATAAAATTTATAGAATAGTCTATGGAACCCAGACTAAAAGCAAGATGAATTGTTTCCAAAATTCACAAAGAGATTGAGCGACATGGAAGATAGAATGAACAAGTATGGTTTTCCTGTCTCTCCTTTTACTCATAGTTATTGTAAAAGACAGCTAGATTTATGTTTTCCAGAGCTTTATTCAACAAAATTAAAATTGTTCTTCATGTTTGTTTTATTTTATTCAATATGAAACTGTGTTTGAATATATAAATAATTTATTTTATGTATGTTTTGATAAAGGGAAAATTGATTTTATTCTAAAAACTATTGAGGTCGAGTATTTTATTAAAAATTAATGAAAGATTGTTCGATTTTCATTTTTTATTATACTTACTGATATATTAAAATATATTTATTTTTTAATCAATTATTTATACTAAAAACACTTGACCGCAATTCCAATTATTTAGAGGCTAAAATTTAAGTATTATTGTAATATTTTCCCTTACGATATTAATATTATATGCAATAGTCAAAGAAAAAAGATGCGAATTATTTTATTTTACATTATTGAAATGAGTTAAACATGATCTAGATAAAGTTTCAAAAGCTTTAGGTAGTGCTCATCTTCTCGTTTTCATGGTTTTAGAGCATTCATCTTTTTGTT